CAAGACAACTGTCTAGTTATCAAAAACTCCTGCTATCATTTGCTGCTCTTAGCTCCTACCTAAAACCGTACAAAAGTCCTTACCTGTTAATGCTCCCAAAGGTAGACATGTTTGAGGAGGGCTGGGCAGCCCCCTGCATGACTTTATGTGTTTGTTTCTCATACACAGACACAACAGCACACTCAAGTGAAATATTCAAAGAAAGAGGTACTTTTTAATGTGACAACTGAATTTGGCTTTGCAACTAATTGCTGCGAGGTATTTTTGCACTGAACCTTTCTGGATGGTGAAAGTGGGAGTCAGACCATTCAAATGGACCTGCAGGCTCCTGTAGAAGTTGGTTGCTTTTATACAACTTACGAAAGGTTGGCACACTTGGAGAATATTACCCTTCCTAATGGGCCTCAGAAGCAAGGGAATACACCAGGATAAGCGCACTATAAGCCAAGTCCCTCTTCAGCACATTGTATTTTAACTTGCTTGGATAAAGCACCCATGTGGCCTGGGAGAGTATGCAAAAGTGAAATTTCCCTCATGATGCACCATTTTCTAAAGGCCCTATTTTCCTCTAACTCCATTTCCCTCTACTCTTCCCTGTTGTAATGGGAATAGTTTTCATCTCCTGACATCACCAGAAGGGCTGAGAGATGTTGAAAGCATACATCTTGGAAGAAAACACTGTATGGCAATGGAAGAGTAATTGTGGTGACAGGGCAGGGAGAGCAGATATGTCTCCCTAAAAAGATTTTACAGCCTCACTTGCATTAAAAAATGTTTTTTTCTTGTTTGAAGCAGCAGGAAAACATGAGAAATCCAGCAACTCAAAATATTCTCAAGGAACAAAAAGAATAAGCGTTAAAAAAAAGAAAATCAAACCCAACCCTACCAAATCATATCTAGTTCAAGCAGCAAAGAATGGGTGAAAGGGAGTGACCAGCCTGGAGCTGATGCCAGTTCCATCCCCACTGTAGGAAATTAGGGGGCCCAAGCCCAGCTGAAGCTTCGCTTTTGGAGAAAGCACAGATGTATCATTCATTAAACCTCTCTGCCAGGATGTGGTACAGCCTGAGGCAGTCATGGCTCAGATCTGCATGGTGCACCTCAGCATGACAGTGCCACATGTCCCAAGAGCAGACACAGCACAAGCCAGAGCTGCTTGGTGGTGGTGGTGGTAAAGGACTTGAAACTTAATTAAATTGACATCCATGTGTGATTACAGAGGGGTTGAGTTCATGAGAACCCATCAGCACTGACGGGGAGAACAACCATCAGCACCTTTGCAAAAGGCAGGTGTGGATAATCTGACCAAAATGACCCAATCAATCACTCCCTCATATGGGACAGGGCTGTTTCAGACACTGCAACCTAAGTGTACCCAGGTCAGCTGGTCGCAACCCTTAATGGTGTTTGGAGTACCTGTAACCCCATAATGCATGTTATGGGAAAAGCATGGACTCCACTAACAGTGCCTAGGAAACTTAACATTGGATCAGGCAGATTTTCATTGTCAGAAGTGCAGAAAAGAAATGTTTAAGACTAGGAGGATCCCTCTACCAGGGGGAACTAAGCCAGGCTTCTCCGCTCTATGCACAATTTTAGCTCACTGCAAAATTAGCACTGCTCACCCTCCTTCTTCCAGCACGTAATGGGACGGCAGAGGCTGGTGATACAGATTCCAGGTGAAAAATAAGCAGAAGCAGTATGTCAGGGCTTTAATCACATCTATATGAGATGTGATTTTTCCTCCTTGCCAGATGCACCTTTTTTTGTACACAGACATTAATGCTCATGGAACAGCATTTGATCAGCCTTAATTTCCAGGCTGGATGCCCGCCTGTTTCTCTGGCTGAGCTGCCCGAGGTTTCCTGTGCTGCTGTGGCCAGCTCTGGGCAGGGTTTGCGCATTGGTGGCTGCGTGCAGCCGGGGCGAAGCGCACACAGGGTCTCTAACGCACTGCAGTGGAGCCGAGATGCTTCCGATGCGGCTGGCTCAGCCTCTTCACTGCCATCCCCGGCTGGCTCATTAGCATCAAACTGTTCAAAGGCATGGAAATTAAATTATATTTGGGTCACAAACATATTTTAGGCAAAAATACCTGTTATATTTAAAGCATCTCGTTCAGAGTCTCTCTATCTGCTGCTTCAGGATGGTTGCACGAATATTCACTGTCCTTAATGTTTTTTAATGATACAGCAGGTGCTTCCAAAATCTGATTTCTGTTTAAATATGAATTAGGTTCATGCTGGTAAATAAGAACCACCTTCTGGCAGCTCATTTAGGTATCCCAAACAGGCAAAAGCCCAGATTTCCCTGGATAACTTTGAAAGAGAGAGAAAATAGCTCTGCTATAGTGACAGAAGTGTAGTCCCAAACAGCACAGCTGGTGCTCTGCTCTCTGCTTGCTAGGAGGGAGCAGGCAGGCAGCTTTCCAGGAGCACCAGCACTCAGACATCGCTCCCTACTGCCACTCCTTTTAGCAGTGGCCTCTCCATGACTTTCTGTGCAATTACATCTTAAACAGATTCAAGCATCTGGCTACGCCTCCTATCAAGACTGTATGAGTGATGATCTCCTTGGACTTTGTAAATATTGATCATTATTCTGGAAGCAGCTCAGCTCCTGGGCTCCTGGAGAAGAGGCTGTTTTGTCTCACAGTCAATACACTTTAAACTGGAGTGCATTGGGATGCTTTTGGATCTTTGGCTGTCTATTGTCAATACTCCCAAGCCTCCTGTGAACAAGCCTGGGGCATGGTTACCTTGCCCAGAGCTTCCAGTGGGATAAGGCAATACCAGTGCTGGGCAGCCCAGAGCAATTATCTGCAGTACTGAGTGACACCTCCCTCTTCCAAGGGCAGAGCCCACAGCCTCCCTTGTTTACGCTGACACATACCAGAGCAGAGGAACGAGGGTGCTGCTGCTTCTCCTCCACAACCTGCCCCCAGACAGCCTGCTGGCTTGCCCTGCTGCTGACATGTCTTTCCAACTGCTCATAAACTGTCCATTTCCATAAAGGCTTTGTCCTGCATTTGATTCCTGAGACAATTTTCTCTCTCCTCCTATGGAGGCACAGTGGGAGACAGAGACCCAAGCACAGCAGGCTGCTCCCCCCCAGGCCCTGTCAAACTTCACAGCATGCCCTGGCACTGCAGGCATCACCGAGGCATAGCTCCTTAGATGTCTCAGGGAGGAGGTGATGCTATTTTTCTGCCCTCCAGGATTCCTCCAGGGGAATCTTCAGATCTCTTGACTCTCACAGAGCAAGTCTGTTCAATCTGAGTCTGAAGGAGAAACCAACACAGGAAAAGTAGAGTTGGATGGAGGAAGCCAATTTTCAGAAGCTTAGTAGAAAAGATTATAACATTCCTGTCTTCCAGGGTTGACAGTGTACTTTCCCTCCATCAACAGCTTAACTGATCTGCTCTAGCCTGCTCTGTGTTTGGCCATGGAGGGCATCACTCTACTGCAGTTTCCTTGAGCTGCAACAGGAGCAGGAACAGAGGCAGCTGTTGCCCAGCTGGGAGAAGTACCTCTGACCTTTGGGAAGAGAAGCAAAAGCAGTCTGAAAAATGCAGTTCTCTTTCCAGCCTTGGCCTCTCAGATTCATAGAATCTGCTGAGTTGGAAGTGGCCCACAAGGATCATCAAAGTCCAACTCCTTGTCCTGCACACAGCAGCCCCAAGAATCACACCATGTGCCTGAGAGCATTGTTCAAGTGCTTCTTGAACTCTCAAATATCACTCATCAGACAAAATGCACTTCAAGCCGGAAGCAGATACAGCACCTGGTTTGAATGGGTTTAGAACATTCACCCAGGAAGGCTTCAGCACTCGACCACACTCACAGTGTTATTGGGTTAGCATTAATGCAGCACATGTGGTCCAGCAGGCAGAGGAAATGGCTGGGCCTTCCTCAGAATTGATGGCTTTATCCCTTGCATTAGCACCAACCTGCTGGCAGTGCCTAGCTTTGCTTGCAGAGGCTGTTTTTTCCCTCCTGGCATGTGTGTAGAGCTCTGCTTCAGCTGCAGGAAAAGAAAGAGGACACTACTGACTGTATGTGCTCCTGCTCATTCAAGCAGAGCTTGTCACAACAGGGAAGTAGCAGTGTATGGACAACAGCCTGAACCGGCTGGTACGGAGCAGAGCAGCCATCCTTTCGAATCCAGGAGCTGTTAGAGAGGGCAGGAAACACTGATGACATCTGCTCAAGTACCTTGACCTTTCTAGTCCTCCTGAGGGCTGCATGTGGCAGATGAGAGATGGAAGGCAAGCCCTAAAACCCGCTGTTCCAATTCCCTCTTGTGCAGGACATGGCTTGCTGAATGACAAAAGTTACAACTCCTGCACAAACCACAATTAAATCTGTTTATTAAGTAGACACACTACTTTATAGATGATTATGCTCCATGTTTCTTCACATAAGCTTTACTAAACCTACAGTTTGATTTTGCAAACTAAAAACTCAGTATATAAGTCCTGGTGAGTTAAGAGCACAAGCAGCTGTACTGTATTCAGGATTAGTTCTCAGTGTCTGTCTGGCTCCTTATAAATCTACCTGCTTTTCTCCATTGTTAACATTGAATTCAGTTAGATTAAATCAAGAAAGAACAGGTACAGCACATTTTTACTGTTAGCTGATCACTGAATCTAAGTTATCGGCTCTGTGACTTGTTATCTAGAAGCTTGGTACCAGATCTTGGAGGTTTGTCTACACCAGAATACCATTTTAATTAGCAACATGATGTCTGTGAGACCTCTACCATCAGCTTTCACTTAAGGAAGAAGGAAAGGAAGGGAAGTGCTGATCAAAAAGGGCCTCCTGTGGCACCAGTTAATGAAACATTCTTCCTGGAAGTGCAGGAGATTCCAGGAGGCATTCAAGGAAGCTCTAGTAAGGAGAAAAAATGTGCAGTGGGATTTCAAATAATCCTTCTCTCAAAGGAGAGCTCAAATTGCTTTTTTTCTTGAATCAAGTAAATCAAAATGATAAGCAAACAACATTCCCAACTAGGCACATGACAAACTGAAAGATGACAAAGGGGAGAAGTTTATGTTTATTTATTCCTCTTGAAAATGACTTAAAAGAAAATTTAAAATACTATTTAAAAAAGAGGGGACTCAAAATATCAAGAAGCTGAAAATCAAACCACAAAGGAGGCATTACAAGATTAGCAGAACATAGAAAGCATAGTTAGTATAAAACAGATTTACAGTCTCAGTGAACAGCAAATTTGTGCTGCCCATGTAAGTGGAACAGCACGTAATGCAGCCTCTATCCTCTGGAACACAGAATTCTTTTATCATTTTGTTTTATTGTAGTACTGTATAGGAAAAGTCAACAATTTTAAAAAAGCAACATTTTCAATTGAAAGAGAAAAACATTACAAACATTATATTGCTCTATAGGCACTGATAAATGTTTTTCTGTGGTAAAAGAATGTGCCAAAGCAGAATTCAAAGTTGAAGTTGTATAATTCCTCTTAAAATCATACAGCCCTGGTGAGATTGCAAATAAAAACTAGTTATGCCATTTCTCTGGCACTGCCTGACAGCAGCCCTGCCCACTATGAACTGTTTGCAACACTGGAGTTTAGACAGGGCTAGGCAGAAGCAACAGGCAACAATACTGGAAAATGAAGGAATCTCCTGGTAAGTCAGAGCACTCTGACAGTTCAGAGCCATGGAGGGCATTTGTTACACTGACAAAGGGTGACTGTGTGTGCCTGCCAAGGCTTTCACTGAGTTTTTCAGGTTACACCTGACCTTGAGGTTCTGAGTCCCAGTAAGGAGTGAATGGGAGCAAGAAAAGGTTGCTGCCTACAGGCCTGCTTAGAAACAGCCACTCTGGTGGTCAGTGGCAGCTGGCAAGCTGGTCAGCTACAAGCCTTGCCCAAGCTTGCCATCAGCAAAGTGCCTCCCTCTCCTCTCCCCTTGCTGATCACAGGCAGCTGTATGTTACTTACGCCCTCCTCTGCAGAGCACTCTGCTCGGACTATGGAGCCCTTATGTCCTCTGAGGGCAGGGATGTAGACTTCACTAGGATCTGCAACAAAAAACAACTCTAAGCAATCGGGGAAAGGAGCTGCTAGGGCCTTGGAGAAAGTTAAAGCAGTGCCTGTGCAGCGCAGCCTGAAACAGATTTTTACTTTGCAAGCATCTTCACGTCTGAGATTTGTCCTTCCCTACCTGTTTTGGCACATGCAGCTTTCCTGCTCCCCTGCTCTGGTGAGCAAGATGCCTGAGATTAGCACTCCTGAGCCGCAGTGTCCCCGCACACAGGGGAGGAAAGACGCGCTTCAGTCTTCTGTTTTACTAGGGAGTCTCTGGCTTAAAAAGTCACTTTTTAAAAAACGCCATGGGAGGAATCAGTTAATCAAACATGTCCTCAAACATGCGCTGCCCCATGGCAATGTAAACCTCTTTCTCCTCTGGCGTCATCTGGGCCACCAGCTCAGGGCGCTGACTCACTTGGCTGTAAGAGTGTGGGCGCCCAGCCACTGTGACAGTGGGGTCTTCTGCCACCACCTCAAATTCTTCATCCTCATCCTCCTCCTCCAGCCCATACGTTGTGGTGGCCGTGGCAGCAGCGCGGGGAGGGGATTCCTCCTCTGACTCGCTTGTCTCGCTCTCAGAGTCACTAGCGTTGCCACCGGAGAGAGGAGCGGTACCTCCAACAGCGACTGTGGAAGCAGAAGGCGTCTTCTTCTCGTGGATAAGCAGGGCACGCATCACTTCCTCATTATCATCCAGTGCTGCCCGGCTCTCCTCACGCTCCTGGAAAGCATCCAGATCCCGGCCCCCTGCAAGGAGACACAAGGCAGTGGTCATTTCTTCACAGAGATCTGTGACAGCCCTGAAGGTTTTCTGAACCTTTATTATGACTACCACTGAGCACAGCTGGCCAAGTCACCCCTTTTCTCTAAGCCACCTCCTCCTCCACCTTGAAAGACAGACATAGTTCTGTTTTTTTTCATAATGGCAGAACAAGTACTGACATTTTCTAGGAGCTGGGAAGCCTGGAGTCACTGTGGCTTCCTACTGGAAGCCTTGGCCAGGAGCACATTGCAAGCAAAGACAAAAAACACATGACAGGCAGGCACTTGGAAAAGACTGCCCCAGGGAGGTGTCCAACTCAGGCACTACAGTGGACCAGAAACCAAAGCAGTCCTTCGGAGCTAAATCTGGGCCTCAGATATCCAGACCATACAGCTGACACTTGTCAGAGACAGAACAAGTATCTTATTGTTGTTTCACAGGTGAACGAGCACAGGCCATTTCCTTTTTCTTCCTTTGTTTCCAAGTTGTCTGACCACAGCCTGGGGGACTTGGGGAGATGACCAAGACCACAAGGTGCTGCCAGCGCAGACCATAAAATACAGACCCAAAACCAGGCCCTGTCCTGCTGAGCTACCTGTCTATACGGATTAAGATGGAGAAGCAAATGGATCCAGGCAGACAAGGAATATGCAAAAACATGTTTACAAAACAACATTTAACACAGCTGTGTCTGGTAAGGTCAGAGGTGCACCTATCAGGCAGGAAGCGGAAAAGCTCATTAAAGGAACATGGTGCTGGGATGGAGCAGGATCTATTTCATATAGCAGATGCAGCTCACAGCCTTCAGCCAAGCTGTGCAGCACAGCATGGGAGGCTGTGTTAAAACAGCTCCTGCTCTCTAAGCTGAAACAGCCCAGACTGTCTCTCTGGCTCCCTACATGGACCTCTTATTTGAAGGGGACTTCAGTGTCCCAGCTAACACACATGGCCTGTGCTCCTCTTTCAGTAAACTTGGCTGTACAATCGCCAGGAGGGTTTGATATGGCTTGGGTAGGCAGTCTGTCTGCAGTTCATGGATTCAAAAGGCAAAGTTCTGCTCAGAAAGTAGCATTCCACAGAAAACCTTTCCTAATCCTACATTGGATCAGAGGACTGTGAGTTCACCCATCACCAATAAAACTATGTGCAGTGTGGAAAAAAATTTTAAAAAGACCAGAACAAAAAATGAAATATGGAGAACTCTGTGTAAAAACGAGGCCTAAAAAGTAGGACAGGCTCCCCGTGGCAAACTTTCTGTCTTGAACCAAAAGATGCTGCCCATGAACAACTGCTGGAACTGAGGGGATGGCATTCTGCCTTCATATACATTAACACCCACTTGCCTGCTCCTCCAAGACATGGACCCTCATGGTTTCACCACCCCATCCAGGCAGTTGGCTCCCAAGCCTTTCCCTCTAGGGGTCAGAAATACACTGATTACATTTTTCAATTTGAGATGAAAAAGTTCTGTGAGGCAGGCAAACTAACGAAGTAAGTTCTGCACTTAGCACTAAAAGCCAGGGGAGTTTGTGGTTACTTCTTTCCTGTGGTAAAATAAAGGCCAAAAGACCCATCCCTAACTTCACCAGACTTCTGTTTTCATTGTAAATAAAGTTCTAGTAATGGGTGATGGCTACAGCTACTAATATTAGAGCACTGCCAAATTCCTGAAAGAAAGGAAGAATAAAGGCATCGTGTTGGCAGCCTTGTTCTCAGCTCACTGCTTGTGACTGTGGAGCATAAGAGGCTATGGGAGACCATCTCTGTGAAATAATATCATAGCTCATCACATTGAGACCTATGAAATGACAACAGCCTTGGGTAGGTCCACAAAATCTGACTTTGTGGCTCAGGAGTGGGACTGTCTCCTGCTTGCAAGAACCGCTCCTGCCAGATCCATGCAGTGAATCTTTTCTGTCAACGGTCCCAAGTTTCTGTCCTCTCTGTTTATGTGTTGCAACAGCAGTTTCAGGTTATTTCCACAAGTGTCCTCTTTGATCTCCAGTAGCTGAAGTTAAGCAGTGATGCCATCATGCTATACCCACCTCCATGTCCTTCAGTGGCATCTTGAGAAACATTTATGCTGTGTACACCAGAAGTCATCTCAAAGGGTCAATTTAAAACTACAGGTGAATTGAATGTCCAGCAGAAAAAAAGAGTGAGAAGTCACCATTCCTGGTGAGTAACAACAACCTCTGCTACAGACTGCAGGAGGAGGCTGTTCCAATCATCTCACTTTGTTTAATCTATTTGAAAAATGTTTAGGGGTTTGTACACTTGAAAGGCATTACATGTGAACAAGATCTCTCGATATCTTCTGACCATTATATCACATTCATTTTATTCACTTCTGCTATATCTACATACTCCACTTCTCTCCTGAGCATTGCACTAGTTCCAGGGTGTCATGCTTACACATGTGGTTCCTTTTTGCCATCTTTTCTTCCTAGGGCATCAACAGTTTCAGCCTATAATACTCAAGTGACTTGAAAGATTGCATCTATTGACTCAATCTTGTAAAAATCATAAAAAGTCTTCATTTCCTGTTTTCAGTGTGTAAGCTTAAACAGCACACATACCAAAGCAGAATGTTTCTACTAATTGTTACAAGATCTTCACCATGGTATATGGACAACCCAACCTCAAGATGAATGAAAATAAATGCAAAGATAACAAGAAACAAACAGAAAGGAATAAATTCTCACCTGCCATGGTGATAGACCCTCCTACTGTACTTCCTGAAGCTTTAATTCTGAGTATTCTTGATATATAACACGTTTTGAGAAACAACTGGCAAGAAGAAGGCTGGGAATGTATAAATACTGCTGGTAGATTGGTAGACTTCAGAGTCACTGAACATTAATAAATGTTATTTTTCAGCAGTGATCTATTAGGGAGACAGCTTTCTAGATTAAACCAGAAGACCTTCATCTAGAAGCAATAAACTCTCAAGGTGGAAGATATAACAGTTAATTAACATTTTAGAAGCCCACACAAAATTCCATGGACAGCTCAGCTTTACTGACCTAGATTTCAATCCTGGACCTAATAAGTCAGGATTTTTTACATCTACCTACACATATGTGCTTTGCACAGAAGAGGGGAACAAACTCTGGAGTGTTGGGGGCAGCAGCTGTACACACAGAGGAGAACATGTTTTTGACAGCACTGTAAAGGCATCGTATAAGCAGAGCAGTACTTCTGCTCTGTGGATTTTCTTACCATCTTTGATTTCATCAGGGTCATAAGCCCCCTGCACCGTGCTCTCACGCAGCCAAATTGGTCTCTCTCTGGCTGGCTTTCCTTCACTTGCAGACCGGTTAAGATCCTCCTGGTCCTCCATGCTGATGACAACATTCTGGGTATACAAGTCCTCATATGATGGTCCTTTTGTAGTCCATGCTTCCCGATGGTGTCCACTTGCAAGGCCAGCTGCTGTCCCTGAACCAGCACCAGCTGCACGCTCTTTGCTACATGAAAGTCAAAGAGATAAAAACAGAGCACTCAGAACAGGCCCCTCCTTAGCTACTTAGCCCCTCCTTAGTCACTTTATGATTAGTTATCTTCCATGATCTGCACTGAGAACTTGCATTTTCAGTTCTAACATCTCTTGTCAGGAATTTCTGCACCAGCTTGATAGTTTGGGAAACTCTTAAATCTCTAATGGGAAACCCTGCATAAGGCCACGGCAACATCCACCATAGACACTGAAAAAACGAGACAGCACTAGAGATGCAGATGCACTCATGCAAAAACAAACATAAAATTCCAGAATGCCCTGAAACAAAAGCCACAGCAGCAAAACACAGTCGAACGGTAGTCTGGTATTTGGAAAAGCCTTTTTTTGGCCTTCACACAGCAACCATATACTGCATTAAAAAAGCACTAAAGTTTAACTATGGCAGATAGTAGGCCCAGAGACCCAGCATGCTCAGACCTGTGAACTGTTATTAACCACAGGATTCAAGGAGTTAACTCACCAAGAAAAACACAATTCAAACCTTTGCTTGAATTGTGAGTGACAACACACGAGAAGTCACCTCTCCTGTGTTACACAGGAGATCTGTACTATCCACAAATACAGCCTTGGGAGAAGTGGGGAGTCCAGCTAGAGAAGAAAGATGAGAAAGCACCTTCAAACCAGAGGACTAGGGCTGGGCAAAGGAATTTGTTTGCTGATGGTGTGCAGGAGGCGGCAAGACAGAAGAACAGCCTTCATTGTGGAAAAGCTGGAGAAGGAAAGGTACTGACTGATGCGAAGTGTATGGCAGTCAAAGCCTAGCCCTCCTTTGCCTCCTGAGAGGAGCTGCAGCCAGCACATTTCCCTCCAGGGCTCCTTCTAGCTCAGGAGACTGAGGGAGAAAATATTCCTGCTTGGATCTGATTGAAAGAGGACATCAGGTGGAATATTTTCTGCACATGATGATGGCAATGAGCCCAAAATACTCTCTGGCCTGTGTTGCTACATATGCATAGATCAGGGAAAGCAGCTGAATGGAAACTCATTGGTCTAGGGGTGGGGAAAGCCAAATGTGACTGTTCCTCTACTTCAGAATATTTCATCTTTTCAGAGAAACAGATCTGCTGCAGACTGTACCCACCCTCAGACATATAATTTCAGTCATCTGACTGCCAGTGGTACTTAGGGCTTTTCATAAGTAACAGCCCTGTCTCAACTCCTCCTCTTGTCCAGAGCAAATCCACCAGGGATAATGAATGATGCCAGCTGAGCTGACAGTTGTCATCAGTGAGCACAGTTCAGTTACTGTTGTCTACTCAATGACCTTTACTCCAACCAGGAAGCTTAAAATAAAGTTGCAGTTGGAGAAGTCCTGAATAATATGCAGGTTTTTTTAGTTCAGCAAGGACTTACCCACTGCTTGATGAGCTAATTCTGCTGGATTTTTAGGGGGAAACAGTGAAGGGAAAATAGAGAGGGAGGTGAACATCTCTCTCCCCCAGATAAAAAACCCTGGTGCTTTGTTCCACAGTTTGGATTGAGGGCTACTCACAGCCTCTCAGTAGTGATTTTGCTGGGCTCTGTTAGCAAAATGCTTCACAGCATCCGTGTTAGCATGTGTCCATACACTTAGCAGTTCTCTCCTGCAGCCAGCTCTGCTAGGAGAGCTTCATAGCAGCCTTGAATCTTGGGGCAGAAGGCTCATGCGCATGTGTTGCTTATATAACCTAAGGAACCACACAGAGACCTTCTTCCCAGCGTGTTATTTCAAGTGTTGGTACCTTTCAGCTCTCCAAGACAGGCGTGTGTTCTGTGAAAAGCGCCACTCTGCTTCCCACACAATAGAAATCTCTAACTAGCGTTTCCCTGACAATTTTATGTAATCCACTTTCCTCACAAGATGCACAATGCAGCTCTCCCCCAAGCTCTCCCTCCCCATGACTACAGCGTGATAGCTAAATACTCAGTGCCAGGAACTACCCAATAATACTTTTGCACAGAGGCCCCTGTAACTGTGCTTGAAATTGACTTTTTTCCTACACGGTATCATTTCACAGTGAAACACTTATTCCATGATGTCAGGAATGTTTCAAAAATGAAAGTAACAGTTCTAAGAGACACCTACAGTACTAATTACTTCAAGTGATCAACTGCAATGTCCCACACTGAGATGGAACCATCTAGGCACTTGCTGTCCACTTTTGGAGCCCGGTGAGCTTTGCAAATGTGCCTCAGTTTACTGCTTTGTATCTTGAGTGACACTGTCTGTAGACATGAGCAACACCTTAAGACTACCTGAACAGGGGAATACTCCTTTCTGCAAGAAGAGAACTTACGTTCAGCAACTCTATTCCAAAGTACAGGATTAGCCACCACGGATCAGGCGCCAGGTGCATGAGCTGCCTTACAGACAGCACAGAGCAGATGAAAGGACTGCACTCTTAAATCTCTCTCTAAGATCCATGATCTGCTTTTTCCTCACCTTGGTCTAGACTTCACATGGCCACCCTGCAGTCAGGAACTGTGGCAGCTCAGTGGCCCAGATGTGGCTACATTTGCTCTGTTACCCATCAGTTGTTTTATTCACTCTGATGGAAATCCCTTAATGAGTGGTTTAGCTGCCTTTAAAGGCAACATAAATAGTCTTTGACATAGCTGAGGTATGGCCCACAGAAACCACACTGTGCAATGGGCAAACAACTTGAAATTTTCATCTCAGTCCTGCTCAGACTATTAAGGTCTTGCATAATGGGGATAACTCTTTTTTTGCCATATCTGAAATAAAACACTTTTTCACTGCGCTGCTCTTAAGAGCTTCAACCTCACAACAAACAACCCATGGTTCCTGACAGCATGACCACAGAAAATTAATTCTGTGAAGACTTTTTGTTAATTGAAATCATGCTATTTTGACACAAGAAAATAGAGGGGTTATTAAAATCCGTAATTTTTTGAAAACCACAGAGAAGGGCTTAAGTAAAGCAGGTTTATTATGAAACCTGTGGGGCTAATTCATGCTTTGCCAAGATTAAGAAAATTAACAGCCTCTTAGAAAAATATAAATGAAGATCTACCCAGTTCCCCAAGGCAGGTGAATGACAGTTATGCAATGTCAGTGCTGTGGCTTAGAGCTCCTAAAAACTCTCCTGAACATACATAAGTTGCCTGTGTTAGTGCAAAGAGAAGATGCAGGCATTTTGTGACCTTTTCCGTTTGTTTCAGAATCACCAAATGTCAGTTTTGTCAATGATTTTAGACACTCAAGACTCCATAAAAACAGAGAGAATAAATAACCCAGGGTTTGGCACTTTGAAAAAATCTCACAGCAGTGCTTCCATGGAATTAGCTGCTTTGAATTAATAAGAGTTAATAAATAATTAAATCATTGTATGTACTGAAGCAAGTTGTGTTCAAGTAAGCATTTAAAAGGCTGCCTATTTATTTTGTCATTCCTTTCACAGAGTAATTAATCATTTACAATGTTTTTTAAGTATTTAAGAGTCAAGTAAGTGGGCGCTGCTATTTAATCATGGGACTGCACCAGGCTTCTCCTGTGATAATTTCCTGTACACAAAAGGGGAAGACTGAGAAATTACTCTCTTTTTGGTAGGGTTATCCCAGTTCTACTACTTAAACTACAGAAGAGAGATTTTAAAACAAAGTCTAGTGATTCAGCTTGGGTATAAAGGCTTCAAGGATTTCCCATATCACCAGACATGCTGAGCAACCTTGGGAAAATCTCCTCCATTCTTTATATTGCTTCTGTTTTTCTATCAGAATGATGAGGAAAAATAGCTACCTTCTTGGCTAGAAAAAGCCTATGAATAGACAAAGAATTTTTATTATATTAATTAGAAACTGTCTAGCATGAATATATGAGGAACATTCTCTCTCAAGGTTAGCCTGAGAGAAAAAAAGTGTATTCTGCTCGCTCTCCCATTAACTAAAGCCAAGCACCTCAAGGCACTGTGGGAATGCATCCCCTCATGTTACATTTTTTTCCCCTGTGTTAATTAATTTTTTTTTAAATACAGTGAAGTGCATCACATTTCACCAGAACTGACAGAACTGACAGCTCCCCACATCTTTCTGCATTATTTAAACATCATCTGTTTTTGTACAGCTAGGAATGTTCTGGAAGAAAGTGTCATTTCCACAGGTAAGAACATTTTAAAGAGTTTTTGACTCCAACATGGTTTCCTCCCGAAAAGGTGTGTAACAAGTTGGGGAAAATCAGAAGAAAAAAACCCCTTATTACAAGTAAAGTCTTCAAAGTAGAATGTTGTAATATGTGGATTTGAAGTAAAAGGTGTAGACCGCAGACAGCTTAGTTTCAAAAGCCGTGTAGAAGCAAAATAAATAGATGAAAGATAAGTGCTTGAGAGAAAGAAGACAGCATAGATGGCACCTTCAGAGTTTTGTCAAGGGGCTGCAGTTTGCATTTTTTAAATACTGAGGCAAGGCCTTGGTATCCATACCAGCCGCAGCACAGCAAGCAGCAGGCAATTCAAGCATCCCACCTCACAGAAAACTACATGCAGGAAGCTGACCAGAGGAACAGCCATCTGCCTTGTTTAGTAAAAAATGGTTACAGCCCTTTGTCTCCTTATAAACCACACATTCCTTGGGGAATCTGTTAGTTTCTTGCACAGTTGGTGCTGAACAAGTAAGTCCTCAATGCAGCCAGAGACTGCACAAGGTTTAGGAAACCCCCACGGAGAGGAGCACACTACAAGGAAGCAGTGCAGTGAGAGAAGACCAGGCGGGTTCCCACCTCTGCTTCAGGGCAGGAATCTCTGTGGGTTCTGGCTCCAGGATTTCATAGGCTAAGTTAACGTCTTCCGTCTCACGAAGCAGCGCATAGATGGGCTCAATCTGCTCATTAAATCTTGCAACGAGTGTCCTTGCATCCTTTTTGGGCATTGCCGACTCATCTTCTTCCACTTCAGTCTCACAGAAGGTACAGCGGAAAGTTCCTAAAACGAGAAAAGTTGCTCAGTGTTGGAAGGAAACAGCAGGCCTGGCTCTTCACACAGCCTTCCCAACAGCAGTGCCTTGCTGTTTCCTTAGCTTGATGCTAAGTAGCTTTTCTCCCCCGAAAATCCCTTCCCACACATGGTGTACCTGGTTATTATTTAAGCAGACAACAAAGCAAGCATTTTGATACCATCTAGTGATACCCAGCTGGGTACAGTTTCTCGCTCTGAAAAGCCCGGATGGGCTGCGGTACCTCTACGGAGACATCTCCTAATCTCTCTCCCTCTTTCTTGCTGCACATTTTAAATGTCAGCTACGACTGGGCTGTGATAAAAAGCTATACAATATCCTCTAAGGAGTTCAAATATCGTCTGTTTCAGTTGCTTGCACTGGTATCTCCCTGGCCACACCAACAGGCTCATTTCCCAGTGAAACAGTGTAATTTTACACTGCACTAACCAGCCTGCAGTAACTGCTCATATAACCATTGTCACTCTGCAAATACTGCAAAAAAAAGATGGCTTCTCCTTCTGTTTCAGGGCCAAAATAGGCAAAATAGTCATTACTGCAAGCAGCAAATGCAAAAACTTATCCCACCCAACTCCCATATTAACTTTTTAAAATTAAGAATGGAAAGATAAGAATTGTGTGAATGGCAATTAAGAATAAGCTTGTTTTACAGACCTTGTCAGGACCTATAAAAACAGGTCAAACATAAAGGCAACTGAAATGGCTGCATGGCAAAGCAGTTACAACAAACCTACTGAACTCCTGCACAGCCAGCTTTTTGGTTTCATTGCTCCATCTGTGAGTAGGACCCTTGGGGCAGTACATGCACAGTAGGATCTTACCATATGGTCTGCTATGAGGGGAGCAGCACAGTGTAATGACTTAGTCTTGCAAGTGCTGGACTGAGAACATACCACTGCCACCTCAGAACATTACATGCAGAGTGATGCTCACAGGCTTCTTGATTTCTCTTGCCCGTGGGTGATATTTTTTATTTATCCATTCTGTGACACCTATGCACATCTAGCATCACCTCTCAATACTCCAACAAAGAAATGAAAACATCTTTTTATCTACAGGGAAGCCTGAGGATAGGCCCTGTCATGGAAATGGTAATCTTATGTCTAAAAATCAGAATTAGAATCAGTATTGAAGCCTGCTATTATCACCAATGCTATGTACAAACACAGTCGAAAGAACAGGGTTTGCCCAGAGCACTTGGGCATAATGTAATGAGACAGGCTGGCAAGCCAGGGCTTCTGGTATCTTGGTTTGTTGCTTACACAGATTTGCTAGTCTTGTGACTTCATTTTTCAGCACACCACCTTCTCTGCCGATAATACAGTGATAAAAACAGACCTAACTTCTTCAGGGATGGCTGTGAGGGCTAGACAATGCTTGCACGCTTCTCGGGAAGCACAGAAAAGCTGTTTATGACAGGAGGTAGATCTGTTGCCTCTCACCACAGTCTGCAGAGATGCAGTTTTCGACCTTGACACCATCTGAAGTAGCTTCTGCTCATTGTCACTCAGAAATTAATGCATGTTGTGTATGTGGCCTCTAATATGTACACATTTCCTGCAATAAACCCTCTCTTTAGAAAGTTTGTCTTATCGACAAGTAAAAGCTAGAGGACCCAACAACAGCAGTACGCAAAGTAAAAGGTAAGTGGATAAAGTGCTCTTCTCTCCCATCCAAGCATGAAACACTCTGCTTATGTTTTCTCCAGGCTGTAAAAACTGTCCCTGATGATTCAAAGCTGTACATTATATAAGCTAGCAGCCTGGAAAAAACTGAAACCAAAGTTTGGTCGCCTTATCCCACATCTGAGGCTATTGATGTGACATAAGTTAAATCAATTTAAAATAATTAGCACATCTCACTGCCCCTAACAGACTAAGGGAGTAAACACAGGTTAATGAAGAAAACAACCCTCTTTTTACACCCCCCCGTAAGTCCTGTTACATGTTCCTGAGACAGCTCAGACTTTTCACGCTTCCATCTGTGAACCCCATGAGTATCTGCTAAAGATTAAGATCATAGGGAGAATGGTTCCAATTCAGAGTACTAAAAAATCAGAAAGTAAATACAGCTCTAATGAAACAGAACTCCTAAAGCTATCATGGATTTGCTGCAATTTCCATCCCTCAGGGTTCTTAATAAGTAAAAAAAGTTAATAGATGAATTATGTAAAGAATCTGGGAATGGGTGAAATGACAAGCTTCCTCCATTAATATGCTGATTTTTTTTCAAGGTGATGCAGCATTTCACAATAGGCATATGTGATTAGAGAACTGGGAAGCTGCTTTGCCATGGCAGATGGCATTTACATGTTGCAAACCTCTTTTGATAAACTTTTAAGAGGTCATAAAATGTCACCAAAGCTTTTATGACATGGCACATCACATCAGCAGTGACACACGTTCCTTTCAGATACGAATTGCATGTGACAAACATGAAGTGGAAGCCGTCCAAAGGCTAAAAATGGCAATGCTTCAACTCCAACTATGCATTTCTTCCTTCAGCCCTAACACAATTTATAGTTTTTCAATTCAAACATGCTGCATAAACCAAGACAAATAGATATCCTGGAGCAGAGAGACATGAGGTTTTTCTGCATCTCAGAAATGCTAATGAAGAGCACATACATCCCCTCCTTTCCACACGTGCTCAGGCATTCAACAGACCTCTCTGGCTGCACGCTAAAAACCAGCCATCTGAAAGAGATCTCCTCATGTTCCCAGACTCTCCAGGACAGATACGCTGGTAATCTGGCTGCCCAAGGCTTACTAAGATTAAAGCAGTTTAAACTCTGAAGTACGGGGCCAGAATATTTAGAGGTAATTCCTAATGACTTGATTTCACTTGAGAGAAGGAAAAGGTCAACCACCTACACACATTGAACGCAGGATGTCCAAGTGTGCATGCTGCATCTGCTACAATTAACACATTTAACTGGTTACAGACTCCTGAGCCTGAGCCCAGGCCCTGCTCACATCCTTCTCAAAGGGTTCAAGTCTCATCTCCTGCCCAACAGGGTGTGTTCCTTCCACTCTGTCCTTTGGGATGCTGTTCCAGACTCTCACTACTCTCTTAAAAATTATTTAATTTTCAACCTCAACTTATTCCCCTTCATCTCAAACCTAATGACTGTTGTGTCAAAAACTGTATCTCAGCTCAGCCAGCTTCTATCTTGTAGGTATATTTAAAAACTGCTGTCTTACTCATCTCATACTGGCCCATTTTGCAAGGCCACACATTTTTCTCTACCTTTTAAAACTGATCACCCACTCCTCTAGCAGCCTTAACAGTCTCATTGGGCCCTTTCTCCACTTGGCTCTCACCTTTCTGCTGTAGAGATGGAAGTATAGAAGTGTCCAGATGGATTCTCCCAATAGCCCAGTGGCATTAGTGCTTCTCTGATAGCCACCGAGACCTTTTAAGATCACAGTGTAACAAACCATGAAAGCACTGTCTCAATTATCACAAGATCTAGCAATGCTTCCAGATCTTTCTCCTTTGTAGTTTCCAGCTGATGAACTCCATGTTTATAGCAGACATTTGCATGAGATGCTAGGTATGTGACACTGTACTTCAGAGTATAACCTTTCAGCTCCTTTTTATTCCTCCAGCCTTCATCTTCATCCAATTCTTTGTTCTTGACTGCATCAGAAAACATTAAGCTAATTTATTTTCAAAATCTCCCACAACCTTCTTTTAGAAGTACCATTATTACCATTACATGGAGAGTGAGCTAAGGCACAGATGGCACAATTTCAGAAGTATCTGCTGATTTGAGCAGTACTTGATTTGAGATGCCTAAGAAATGCTTTTCTGAAACTTCTATTTGAGAACAGAGCATGCAGTGTTTTTACCAATCTTCTTCCAGGCTCTAGAATTGGGCATCTCAGTTAGGTACAGTTAGGTACAACACCTAATGATAGCCTTTGAAAAGTTTAGCTTAAAATGGCTAGTTCAACTTCACACAAATTCAGCTGGCCTGGAGGATCAGATCACATTCCTGTGGCTACTACAGCTGTTTTCTTCAAGTAATCCCCTGACTCTCACAGTGCATTTTTCCTTCTTCTTCAGCAAGCCAGACAAAAAGTGCCTTATATGCACACAACTCCTCTCTCTCATTGAGCAAAGCATACTTTGGGGTGGTGGTAGAGAATCATGTCATAGAGAAAAAGTTACAGGATGCACAAGCAGCTTTAGTTTCAGCACTCCCTAATGCTGAGTGCTTCATTTGATGTTAAAATGAGAGTATTAAGACCCCGAGGAAAGGATGAAAGTTTCCTAGGTTCCTACCAACAGGAAGCCAGACGAATGCCTCCCACAATGTGATGTGCCAACAGCCATATGGTTCATTTGCAGACCTGGAGCCCTCAGTTCTGCACAGGCCTCCACCTGGGAAGATGATGACCTGCCCGTGCTGCAGGGGGAGCAGGATACCTTGCCAGCTTGCTTTCTGGTAACAAAGGGAGGATGAGAAGGAAACAGCTTTGGTTCTGCTCTAGCTTCTTAAAAGAGAAGTGGTTTGTGGAACCTGTTATCCTACCCACTAGCTCCATGCCTGAGGTTTTCTACTCAGCTCTTCCCATCTGCTCCCATCCCAGTTCTGGGCTTTCCCCCTCTCTGAAGGTCCTATTCTCCCTGCTAGCGAGTCTATCTAGTCCTGCTTTCTAAGCCTGGGCTTTTCTCACTTCTCAAACTTCTCTGTCCATTCTTCTTTTCCCGGGCTTCTTTTTCCAATTTCAACCCCTCCCCATTCCCGTGCCTCTCTGCCCCCAGCTCTCAGATCAGTTAATTCTGCCTCTTGATTTGAGCCCTGGTCATCAAACTAATTTCCTGTTTCAAGCCAGAGAGATGGAAGATCTTTTCACAGCACAACCTGTCATTCAGAACAGTATTACACAGGCAAAAGAATACACATTTCTCTGGTCTCCCCTACTTTCTCATCAGCTCATTCTTCAATACAACCAGATTT